GGCCATCCTGGAAGTATATGCGCATTCATCTCTTTATACTCAGCAATTGTGTATATGGTGATATGGTGGGGATCTCAACTGTTTCCATGCTGTGACTAAGAAACTAGGTCCCTAGGGGATTGGTCAGACTCCAAGGTCTATTCTAATATCATATCTACATTCGTCTCTTTATGCCTAGTATTTGTATATATAGTTTTGGGGTGGGGATCTCAACTGTTTCAAAGTTATGACAGTGGGACTATGTCTCATAGGGTGGGGCCAGACCCTAGGGCCATCCTGGAAGCAAATGTGCATTATTCTCTTTATACTCAGCAATTGTATATATGGTTATATGGTGGGGATCTCAACCATTTCCAAGAAATAAACTTATTTTGGCCCCACTCCTTAGCCCGGGGGGTCAGCCCCACCATTTGTACAATTTTGAATCACCACTACCTAGGGATGCTTTCAGTCAAATATGGTTGATATCCATCTCTTAGTTCCAAAGAGGTCGCTTAAAGCAATATAGCCAAATTGACCCCTTTTGGCCCCGCCCCTCAGCCCCCTGGGGGGTCAGCCACACTATTTGTACAATTTTGAATCCTCAGTACCTAGGGATGCTTCCAGTCAAATATGGTTGATATTCATCACTTAGTTCAAGAGAAGAAGTCGCTTAAAGCAATATAGCCAAATTGACCCTTTTTGGCCCCGCCCCTAAACCCCCTGGGGGGTCAGCCACACCATTTGTACAACATTGAATCCCTGCCTCCCATGAATACTTTTGATCAAATATGATTGATATCCAGTGCATAGTTCTACAGAAGAAGTCGTTTGTAGTAATATAGTCAAATTCCCCCCTTTTGGCCCCGCCCCTCAGCCCCCTAGGGGGTCAGCCCCACCATTTGTACAATTTTGAATCACCACTACCTAGGGATGCTTCCAGTCAAATATGGTTGATATCCATCTCTTAGTTCCAGAGAAGAAGTCGCTTAAAGCAATATAGCCAAATTGACCCCTTTGGGCCCTGCCCCTCAGTCCCCTGGGAGGTCAGCCCAACCATTTGTACAATTTTGAATAACCACCACCTAAGGATGCTTCCAGTCAAATTTAGTTGAAGAATTTCAATCAGTGGTTAAGAAGAAGTTGTTTAAAGAAATTGTTGATGTACAGACGGACTACGGACGCAACGGCATGGCATAAGCTCACCTTGGTCCTTCGGACCCGGTGAGCTAATAATTACAGATACCAAAGGGTTTACTATCATATTTTTGTAGACAGTATGGGGCCTTAATTTCCCAGAAGGCTTTCACGCATGGGGAAGCACCGGAAGTGGACAAAGTGTTTACAGATCAAACCCCAAAATGGTGCGAAGCACCGCCTGGGTTTGATCTGTAAACACTTTGTCCACTTCCCTCATGTGTCTTTCTTTTCCTTATAAACTTTGCACTCAAAGTTATTACTAAAAAGAACAGCTACCCCAAGAGAGTTTCCACAAAAGGACAAATAATATAAATCATATCCCCATTCATTTGATGAGCTCTTCGTTATCTTCTATGAAATGCTTATCTTGTAAACAGTAAAAATTGTGGTTTAAGTATCTCTAAGATGTGGGAACACATCTTTACGCTTTTCTCTATTCTAAAGCCCTTGCACATTAGCCGAGATAATCTTCACACCCTCCACTTTCCCATTAAAGCGTTTGGTTCCACCATCTCCAGCCCAAGAGAAAAGATATGGCAGATAGACTGGAGAAAAGAAAGAACAACAAAGAAAGAGAGAAAGATTACAAAGAAAGAATATAAAAATTTCAATATTGGGGTAATGTCTCAGACTACTACCTGACAACATACTAATATTGGGATAATGACTCAGATTACTACCTGACAACATACTAATATTGGGGTAATGTCTCAGATTACTACCTGACAACATACTAATATTGGGGTAATGACTCAGACTACTACCTGACACCATACCAATATTGGGGTAATATGACTCAGACTACTACCCGACAACATACTAATATTGGGGTAATGTCTCAGATTACTACCTGACAACATACTAATATTGGGGTAATATGACTTAGACTACTTCCTGACAACATACTAATATTGGGGTAATGTCTCAGACTACTACCTGACATCATACCAATATTGGGGTAATATGACTCAGACTACTTCCTGACAACATACTAATATTGGGGTAATGTCCCAGACTACTACCTGACAACATACTAATATTTGCGCAATGTCTCAGACTACTACCTGACAACATACTAACATTGGGGGAATGTCTCAGACTACTACCTGACAACATACTAATATTTGCGCAATGTCTCAGACTACTACCTGACAACATACCTATATTGGGGTAATATGACTCAGACTACTACCCGACAACATACTAATATTGGGGTAATGACTCAGACTACTACCTGCCAACATACTAATATTGGGGTAATGACTCAGAATACTACCTGACAACATACTAATATTGGGGGAATGTCTCAGACTACTACCTGACAACATACCTATATTGGGGTAATATGACTCAGACTACTACCCGACAACATACTAATATTGGGGTAATGACTCAGACTTCTACCTGACAACATACTAATATTGGGGTAATAACTCAGACTACTACCTGACAACATACTAAGATTGGGGTAATGTCTCAGACTTCTACCTGACAACATACTAATATTGGGGTAACGCCTCAGACTACTACCTGACAACATACTAACATTGGGGGAATGTCTCAGACTACTACCTGACAACATACTAACATTGGGGGAATGTCTCAGACTACTACCTGACAACATACTAACATTGGGGGAATGTCTCAGACTACTACCTGACAACATACCAATATTGGGGTAATGTCTCAGACTACTACCTGACATCATACCAATATTGGGGTAATATGACTCAGACTACTACCCGACAACATACTAATATTGGGGTAATGTCTCTGACTACTACCTGACAACATACCAATATTGGGGTAATGACTCAGACTACTCCCTGACAACATACTAATATTGGGGTAATGACTTAGACTACTACCTGACAACATACTAATATTGTGGTAATATGACTCAGACTACTACCTGACAACATACTAAGATTGGGGTAATGTCTCAGACTTCTACCTGACAACATACTAATATTGGGGTAACGCCTCAGACTACTACCTGACAACATACTAATATTGGTGCAATGTCATGTCATTCCTCGTCAGATTTACACTTAATTTGTCCGTCACAAAATCAACAATTTCCTCCACACACTCTTCAACCGATTCCTTCTCTGATGTATTTTCCAGACCCATCATCCATAGAGAATCTTTCCTTCCGTGGTGCTCAAGGGCGTTTACTTTGTTTTCTGCCTTTTCTTTCCCTGCATGTAATCTTGCGATTTCTCCTTCTAAACTTTCAACTAATGTCTCAGACTACTACCTGACAACATGCTAATATTGGGGTAATGTCTCAGACTACTACCTGACAAAATACTAATATTGGGGTAATGACTCAGACTTCTACCTGACAACATACTAATATTGGGGTAATGTATCAGACTACTACCTGACAACATACTAACATTGGGGAAATGCCTCAGACTACTACCTGACAACATACTAACATTGGGGTAATGACTCAGACTACTACCTGACAACATACTAATATTGGGGCAATGTCATGTCATTCCTCGTCAGATTTACACTTAATTTGTCCGTCACAAAATCAACAATTTTCTCCACACACTCTTCAACCGATTCCTTCTCTGATGTATTTTCCAGACCCATCATCCATAGAGAATCTTTCCTTCCGTGGTGCTCAAGGTCGTTTACTTTGTTTTCTGCCTTTTCTTTCCCTGCATGTAATCTTGCGATTTCTCCTTCTAAACTTTCAACAGTTTTCCGGAGATCTTCATTGTCTGTCTCTAGGTCTAGAATTCTTCCCTCCAGGTGATCTCTGATTTCTTTATTCTCCGCACATATGTCTTCCTTCAGTTGGGTAATCTTCCTGTTGAGATATTCCCGAGTAAGCATAGAGGAAAGAACTTTGTCTAATCTATCTTCCACTGTCCTTCTGTCTTTCATCTCACTGCCGAATCCACTTTAACGTCTATCTTTACTTAGCGAGCTACCTCTTGTCAATTAACTCCAGTAGATTTGTCTGCTCCAGGCATGGTTAAGCTGACAATGCTAACAAATGTATAGAACTCAGTTCAAGCACCTACAACTTGACGGGTATAGAGATCCAGGTTTACGTAACCACATGTATAGTAAGCGGTCAGTAGTAGTCACTGTGGCGTATTTAGTCCATATTCAGAAAATCAAATAGCCTCAAATCACACTTTCTAGAATAAAATTTCCAAAAAGTGTCCAACATTCCGTCCGTTCTACCACATCAAACAGGACTGAATAGGAAGTTTTGAAGCCGTCTCAAAATAGGTGATTTGTATCGTTTTTTGCAGAGTTCTAGGTTATTTTCATTTCAAACTTTGTCAGATGCCATCCGTAGGTAGCTACCAAATATTATAAATCTATGCTCTAAGATTATTCAGAAGAAGTTGTTTAATTGTTTGACATATTTGATCCCTGTTACCTTGTAAGTAGGTCAAGGCCATTTCCTTTTTTAAACTCTGTTGGGCTCTATCCCAGGAAGCAACCAGCCAAATATTCAAATTCTATACATTTAAGTTCTTCAGAAGAAGTCGTTTGAAGTGTTTGACACATTTGACCCCTGCAACCTTCAAGTAGGTCACGGTCATTTTCATTCTCAAGTTTTGTCGGGCTCTATCCAAGGAAGCTACCAGCCAAATATGAAGAATCCATACAGCCACAGCCACCGTTTATACAAAACTAACAGTGCCCTAGACCAAATTTAGTCAAAATCTACTGGGCCGTTCAGGACTAGTAGTGTTTTAAAGGAAAAGTTGGCGGACGGACGATGGACGCCGTGCCATGGCATAAGCTCATCGGTCCTTCGGACCAGGTGAGCTAATAATTATTACCTGCATCATGTAAGTCTTCAACATTTCTCAGACACAGATAGCACCAAACGATATCTAGACAAAGGACAGCATAGTTGTCAACAGCATTCAGGATATCTGCTCGACACTTTCTGTAATAATTCAAATACAAGAGACCCAGAGGGCATGTAAGTCTGTAAACACTCACCCAAATATTTAGGTAACCATGGCGAAATATTCTCATTAAAAGAGGCCAATCCCGATACCATATTTGTAATTGATGCTTGTTTTACCAATATATGTCCTTTTGAAAAATAGCATATACCAGGTCATTATAACTGGTTACTTTTAAAAGAATATATAAGAACACTGTAGCGACCAAGTGTACTGTTTGACAGATGAGGGTATTTGAGTACTAGTAGTCGGATTTTGAGGTATAAGTTGCTCTTACCTAAATTCCTTATCGGCTTCCAACAACAGCAGTAGAGCACGGCCATACTCCTGCTTTTTCAGAGCTGCCCTTCCCTTCTCATGTAAAGTCATCGCCAGTGTGAGAGCCTACAATAAGATTAATGCTGCGGTTACAACATAAGTACAGTTACGGTAACCCTCCGGTCAGTTCGAATCGGCTGATAGTTCGAACACATATTTTTTTCAATAAAAACTATAATTTTCTAGCTAGTGATAGTTCAAACTCTGATTGACCCTGTTTCGGATAGTCCGAACTTGTCAAAGGAAGAACGTAAAGTAAGATTTTTTTCGGCAAACTCCATTGAAAGCTCGCGGCGATTGGCCCCGGAAAAATGCCAATACTTTGATCAACAGACACGTTTAGGGTAATGGGGTGTATGTGTGAGCATTGCAGTACAGCTGTGCCAGACAAACCATAAATATATGTCACAGGTTGTAGCGTTGATTCATTTTTTACATTGTTTGAAAAATACATCGTGCATGAGACAGCCAATTGCAACTTAGGCCCCGGCAATGTATAAATAACATGCGATCAGTACGAACTGATGTCACGCTGTATGGCAAACTAAGAAATCGCCTGTGTATTATCAATTACAGTGTTAACTAAGCATTTTGATTATTTAATTGCATCCAGACATCCCTAAATTATTGCCCAGCTCACACCAGGTAGGGAGGGACACGCGAGATAACGCGGTAGGGATCGGCCGCCCAGCCGTGACATGACGTGATTAGCATTCATGTCCAAGTCCAAACAATCCACAGGTGTCCCAATAGCGATGGGTTATTTTGAAGGTGTCAAATAAGTTTGGTAGGTATTAGGACAATATCACTTATAATTTAAAAGCAGACATGTTGATGTTCTTACCTAATTTTACTAACATATAGACCTATATTTACAATAGCCCTTTGTAAACGCAACAGGTTATGTAGACTTCGTTTTCAATTTATTAAACAGACCATTCATTACGAAATAATATATAAAATAGTTTCTGATTCAAATAAAACCTAACCACGCAGAGACTCCATATTTAGGTATCTGATACAAACTAGGTAGTCTAACTTTTGTGTCACAAATAAAACGTGTACTGTTTTGGGGCCTACACAATGGCCTCTGCTTCGCAATAGCGATCATAATTATCTCGAAATGAAGAAAGTTTAATGATTAATGATCAATTAACATCGAATTAAATAATATACTATCATTTTACCCATTTATAAATGTGCCATTGTTCTATGCCAGGCCGTCTTTGTTACGTTTCGACCTTACATTGGATAAATATGTCGGGTATATGTTTGTGACTTGATTTACACTTTGCTGAAATTTTTGCCGATAGTTCGAACTCACGCTTATTTTCTGAAGCATAATTTCGTATAATCCGAACAGGTTCATCAATATTTATTTGATTTTGTTCGAACTGACCGATGGTTTTCCGTAGTGCCAATGATGAGGTACAGAAACATACACTGTATATAAAGATTCTAGGTGTCAATATTGTTTATATTTACTATACTTTTTGTAAATCTCTGTAAAAGTATAGATAATCCATACGACAAGCATTAAATCCTTCAAAATTGCAATATCACTTTTTTATTATTAATATTAAGATTTATTTGTGGTACATTATTCAGTTTACAGATATCAAATAGATAAAGAGGCTAACTGTACATATACATATATAGAATATCTATATAAATACACATTACATCAGAACATGCAAGCATCAAAACTATGTTTGGTTTTCTTGTTTCTTGTGTTTTATATTTACAATAAAATGAACTATAAATTACATTTTGAAGGATTATGTTGTACAACATAATTCCATGAGTTGATCATATTTTCAAAGTAATATGAAATTATATTTCATTTTCATTCATATATATATGCCTGATTTTCTAGAGATCAATTTGAGTTTTACATTCATTGTAAGAGAAATTGGTTGAAGACAAGGCAAGTTTTTTCAATGGATTTTGCTGTTTATGATTTTACCAACTGCTTTGTAGTTTCAATACCAGGCAGCTGCAGGCTGCTGGCAAAATATCATGTCTCTGTCTTTTTCAAACAATTTGACCCCTGTGACCTCCGTTTTCTAAATTCCCCCCCCCCCCCCCCCCACAAAATCCAAAACTTTGTCAGGATCCATCCCAGGAAGCTACCACACAAATACAATGATTCTATCATTTTGCTTCATTGGAAGCAGACATTGCAACAGCTGACAGTTTAAGTTAAAAGCTTTCGATTGAGATTAAAAAACATCGTACCTATGGAAGTGCCGACATGTTAGAATGTACTTGCATGGTAACGAATATTGGTCTCGCTGGGTATAAAAAAAATGCATTACCTGTCAAACCGGTTATCATTTGTTCAACGTGTATGCAAGGTGACACTACTATACTATAACAAGAGGCCCATGGGCCTAATTAACGGTCACCTGAGTTATGTAAAAACTGATGTTATCAATGTTACCAAATATTAAAAAAAAATCATTTTGTAACAAAGTTAACTTGTAATGTAATGCAAAAGTAGTATGAAAGATCTGGGTAGTATATGTACTATGTACAAATAGTGGTTCTGTCAGTCAGCTGACAGGACATGTCCCTTTAGCTCAGAAGTAGAGCGTTGGCCACCAGAACCTGGGGTTTAGGGTTTGATCCCAGCAGGGGCACCTCATCTTTCCACTTCTTTCTTTCCTATTACAGTAGAACGAGCTGTTGGAATTATTTTTGGTTTATTTAAGTAAGGTTACTGGCTAAAACGATAACAGCTGTCCTATCAAATACTAATGAAGAAATTTTGTGTATTGTAATTTGCCATTTGGAAGATTTGCATCTTTTTATACTGAACATAAATTACATACTACTAACTGGTAATAAGCAACAAAATTGTGAGCTGACTATATCATCTAAAAAGAGAAAGATATTTGTTTTGAGCTTTTAGTGATAAAAAGGTCGCATATTTTGTTAATCATGTTAAAATAAACATGATAAACGACAAACATACAAAGTGTTGTTGAAGAGAACAATCAGGCCTGTGGCAAAGTTATTTATAATATAACACTATGGATGTGTACACCATTGTTTTTCTTTCAACATGTTTTATTTCAATAACTTGCATATTTTTATATACATCTTATAACCAGCATACACTGTTTTACATATCACTGCATCATTCTTCATCTTATAACAAGCATACATTGTTTTATACATCATCCTACCTCATTCTTATTAGGTATACATTGTTTTACATATCGCTACATCATTCTTCATCCTATACCCAGAATACATTGTTTTACATATCCCTACATCATTCTTCATCTTGTAATAAAGCATACATTGTTTTACATATCCCTACATCATTTTTCGTCTTGTTACCTGCATACATTGTTCTATACATCATCCTACTTCATTCTTATTAGGTATACATTGTTTTATATATATTATATAAATTTTCATCAGATTAAAATAACAAAAACTAAAAAGTACAATGAATATATGCTATTCTTGCATTCCATGTAAACTATATATTATTTCCTTTTCATTCCAATTATCACACAGGCTCATTCATTCACTCATTATTTTCATTATCAGAGTAGGTAAATTTATAAAGACTCACAATTCTTTTTGTACTTATTCATTACAGTAGCAACATAATTGTATTTATATTAATTATAGCTATAGCTGTGATTTCAATGAATGAATTAAAGCAATGAATGTATAATTTTGTCTGTTTGCACTTATTATATTATCCGCTGTATTTTTCAATTGGTTTGTTATCCTATTAAATAATGATAGTGGAATTTGATCTTCATTTTCAAATTTCTGTAGATTTCTTGCCTTCCAAATTAGCCATTTAGACTGAAATATGATTAGATTACATAGTTTATTTATATTATCATTATATTCTGAGACACCAAAGATTCTTTCCTTTTCTGTTAACCTAATATGAACATTGCTTGTTGCTAGACTTTCATTTAGTAATTGTTCTATCCTGAACCAAATTGTTTCACTAAACCTGCACCCACTAAAGAGATGTTGTTGGGTTTCATGTACTTCTTTGCAGAAGTTGCATAGACCATTTGATTTCTGCATTTGTTTAAGTTTATATTCAGTGGTTAAAATTCTGTGTAGGCTTCTCCACTGAAAATCCTTGATTTTCCTGTCAATGATAGTGTTATTTATAGAGAGCCAGATGGCATTCCAGTCCAATGCAAAAAGATCATTCCATTTCTGAAGGGATTTTATCTCTTTACTATTTTGATACAATATATATTTAATTATTTTGTTAAAACACTTGTTCATGGCTAAAATGCTGTTTTTATAAGTGAAAACTAAGTCATCTGAAATTTTAAAGGCACTAATATTGTTTTCATTATTATTTTGTAGTATGTTTTTCCACCCTGACGGAAGGGCCCCTCTGATTTTTGAGAATTCCGATATCCAGTTATTTTTACTTTTTAACTTTTCCAGTAATTGTTCTGATGAAATAAAGTTATTTTGTACAACATTCCAGATATGTTTTATCTTTGTTATTCCACTCCTTGCCCAATTTTTGAAAAAAAGTGGATTATTTTTAAATAATACATTATGATTCCCAAATAGGTTTTGGTTAAGGACATCTTCTGCACTGCTTACAGGTACTTTTTTTTGCAGTTTTTGCCAATGCCAAATTCCCTCCCGATAAATTGCCGGAATTTTTTTCAACTCCAAATTATGAGTGTTGCTGCATCTACATAAGAAATAATCTGTATTGTAAGCTCTGTCATAGCTTTGCAGAAAGTGTTTACCTAGTATGTTCCACGTCTGTATTTCACTATGAATTACTCTATATATTAGTTTGATTCTATTCATTGTAACAATTATCTCTATATCTGTCATATTTAACCCTCCCTGCCCCTTTTCTAAATACACAGTTTCTTTTGCCACCTTATTTATTTTACTACCCCAAAGAAATTTATATATTAATTTGTTTATTTTTTGTAAATATTCTTCAGGTATGGTGTTTTGTGCTAATTCATAAGTTAACTGAGAGCATAGAAGGGATTTAATTATTAGAGTTTTCCCTTCTAATGACAAATTTCTCACTTTCCATG